CTGAGCCAGGAGCCCGATGTGGGGCTCGATCCCAGGACCCTGGGATCATGACCTGAGCCGAAGGCAGACGCTTAACCATCTGAGCCACCCAGGCGCCCCGTGACCTTGTATTTTGAAACCTTGTAAAATTTGAGTTTTAAATGGTTTTTATTTTATTTATTTATTTAAAAAATATTTATTTGAGAGAAAGAGAGCATGAGCAGGAGGAGGGGTAGAGAGAGGAGCAGACTTCCCACTGAGCAGGGAGCCTGGCATGGGGCTTGATCCTAGGAGCCTGGGATCATGACCTGAGCTGAAAGCAGCCACTTAACCAACTGAGCCACCCAGGCACCCCTAAAAAGGTTTTTAAAATGTGGATTCTTTTGGCTTTTCTGTATATAAGAGTATATCATCTGTGAACAGATACAATTTTACTTTTTCTTTTCCAATTTGGATGCCTTTTATTTATTTTTGTCATCTAATTGTTCTAAGTAAAACATCAAGTAGTATGTTGAATGGAAGTGTTGAATTTACTTCATTCTTTTCTACCTGATCATGGAAGAAAAGCTTTCAGTCTTTAGAGTATGGTGTTACCTTTAGGATTTTCATATATGGCCTTTACTACATTGAGGTGGTTACCTTCTCTTTCTATTTTGTTGAGTGTCTTTATCATGAAACAGTGTTGAATATGGTCAAATTCTTTTTCCACATCAGTTCAAGTGATGTTATTTTTGACCTTTATTCTGTTAACGGGACGTCTTACATATTGTTTTCAGTATGTTGAAACTCTTGAATTTGAGGAAGTATTCCCACTTGTTCATGCTTTAGAATGTTAAAATGTACTTTTGCCATCAGCTCCCTGTATTTTATTTTATATTTTATTAAAGATCTTATGTATGTATGTACGTATGTATTTATAGAACAAGCAGTGGGAGGGGCAGAAGGAGAGGGAGAGAGAGAATCCCAAGCAGGCTCCCTGCTGAGCGCTAAGTCCAAAGGGGCTGGATCTCAGGACCCTGAGATAATGACTTGAGTGGAAACCAAGAGTGCGATGCTTAACTGACTGAGCCACCCAGGCACCTCTGTTTGCTGTATTTTATTGTGGACTTTTGCATGAATATTCATCTTGGGTAGTAGTCTGTATTCTTTACCTGTAGGGTCTTTGGCTTTGATATCTGGATAAGGCTGGGGGTAGAAAGGGATCTGATAATTTTTCTTCTCTTCACACTTTGGTAGTGTTTGAAGTTTGATGTAAGTTTTCATTGAATGTTTCCTTGAATTAGCAAAAAATTCATCTGGGTTATGCAGTTTCTTTCAGAGTTTTTAGTTACTTTTTTCAATCTATTTAGTAGTTGTAGGTCTGTTGTGAGGTGTCTTCTCGTTTTGTTTTGTTTTTGTTTTTTGGTTTTTTTGGTCATGATAGAGTACAGATTGTATCTTTTTTTTTTTTTTTTTAGATTTATTTATTTGAGAGAGAGAGCACAAGCAGGGGGAGAGGCAGAAGGAGAGGGAGAAACAGACTCCCCACTGAGCCTGGAGCCTGACGCAGGGCTCTATCCCAGGACCTGGAGATCACAACCTGAGCCGAAGGCAGATGCTTAACCATCTGAGTCACCCAGGCGCCCTAACAGATTGTATCTTTTATGACATTTATACACATGGTTTTTGGTATCCATTTGTTGGCATATAATTTTTCTTTATCATCTCATTATTATTTCTATGGCATCAGTTTTTTATTTTTTATTTTTAGATTTTATTTATTTATTTGCCAGAGAGAGAGCAGAAGCAGGGGAGTGGCAGGCAGAGGAGAAGCAGACTCCCTGCTGAGCAGGGAGCCCGATATGGGGCTCCATCCCAGGACCCTGAGATCATGACCTGAGCTAAAGGCAGACGCTTAACCAACTGAGCCACCCAGGCGTCCTGGCATCAGTTCTAATGTGGTTTTAGTTGAGTCTTCTGTTATTTTTACTTGATTTAGTAAAGGGTGTGTCATTTGGATCTTTTCAGAAAACCAACTCTTTGTTTTGTTGATTGCTTTTTATTTTTTCCATATCCTATTTCTTAAAATATTTTATTTATTTACATATTGATTTATTTAGAGACCGAAAACAGGGGGAGGGACAGAGGGAGAGGGAGAGAGAGAACCCCAAGCAGACTTCCACACTGAGCACAGAGCCTTTTGTGGGGCTCCATCCCACGACCCTGAAATCGTGACAGGAGCCGGAATTAAGAGTTGGACGCTCAACTGACTGAGCTACTGAGGTGCCCCTTGCTATATCTTATTTTGTTGATTTATGTTGCATGTTAAAATTTCCACCCCTCTGCTAATTCTTGGGCTAGACATACTTCTTTTTCCTATTCTTTTGTGTGTAATAAAGTGATTTGTGCTACAGTATGACAATGTTAGAAAATTCTCTGTATATCTTAGCATTTTCTGTAGGGCTAGTCTAATGGTGCTGAAATTGTAACAAGTAGTTCTCTGGGAAATTTTTTACTTGTCCTTCTTTTTGACGGAGTATTCTTGGTAATTTTTCTTCATTCATGACTGTTAATAGATTGTATACTGTTTTCTTTATATGAGGCTGTTGTACTGATAATGCTGTAGAAGCTCTGTTGTACACCCTAAGTTGCTTAATCTTTTTGTTTGTGATTCTTGATAGTTTGATTATATTGTGTATCTGTGTGGATATATTTGAATTTATTTTATTTGGAATTCATTGTGCTGCTTGATATTTTAGGCCTGTTTCTTTCCTCAAATGAGGGACATTTAAGCCATTAATTCTTCATGTAAGCTCTCTGCCCCCTTTTCTTTCTCTTTACCTCATTGGGTCCCCTTGATGTGTATATTGGTCTCCTTGATGGTGTCCAGTGAGTCCCTCAGGCATTTGTCCCATGTCTTCATTTTTATTTTGTGCTCCCTGTAACTTCATAATTTTAATGAATTATCTTAAAGTTTTTTCTTTCTTTATTTTGCTTGATCAAGTCATTAATCTCTGGTGAAGTTTCAGATGCAGTTATTGTACTGTTGTACTACTGTCAGCTCTCATTTTTTGTTCCTTGATTATACTTTCTCATTGATATTTTGATTTTGTTCTAACATAATTTGAATATTTTGTTTAACTCTTTTAGCTATTTAATCATCATTTAGATGGTTATTTTAATTATGTATCAGGTAATATAGATGTCCATAACCTACAGCCAATTTATGCGGATGTATTTTGTTTCTTTCAGCGTGCCTTGTTTTTCCTCTTTGTATGATTTTTGATCTTTTGAGATTTGGGAATTTAAACAACCTAGGTCTCCTAGTCTTTATGGACTTGCTTTTTTCAGGAGAACACCAATAACAGTCATAGGATGCAGAAAATTTGCAACTTGTCAAACCCATTTGGTCAGGTATATTCTCTGTGCATGTAACTTCCAGTAACAAAAAATTTCTCTGTTTCTTAAGAGCCCATGATATATTGCTCTCCCTAATGTCCGTCTTTAGATATACAGTCTCTCTGCTACCACAGTGTTCACTCGTGACAACAAATGGTGCATTGATGGTATATGCCATTCTGTGTTGTACTCTGTGCCATGTGAAATAAAATAAGTTTATCTACCCATATGAAAAGTCATAACTTTGGACACAGAGACACTTCAATATGTTAACTATATGATTCATGTTTTCTTTTCTTGAAAATACAAATAAGTAAACAAAAGAATGTGTCTGTGACATGAGTGTGAAATACAATGAAATCTTACAAGTTGGAGGCCTCATTGACTTAGAACCAACACTCCCACAAGTCAGAATCTTCAGTGCACAAAAGAGAGAGCTTTCATTTTCCATTGGAAACTACAAGCAAAGAGAAACTCAGAAGAAAGGAGTTTCTAGTTTTGTTTTTTTTTTTTAAGTTTTTATTTATTTATTTGAGAGAGAGAGAGAATGAGAGATAGAGAGCACGAGAGGGAAGAGGGTCAGAGGGAGAAGCAGACTCCTGCTGAGCAGGGAGCCCGATGCGGGACTCGATCCCGGGATTCCAGGATCATGACCTGAGCCAAAGGCAGTCGCTTAATCAACTGAGCCACCCAGGCGCCCTGGGAGTTTCTAGTTTAAATGTGATGGATTCTACACACATCTTTCAGTAAATCCATCCAATCATTATGATTGATTAAGAGATAAATTCACGTTATATAGGAGGAATCTGGCGGAGAGCACCAAGCCAAGTAAAAGAAGTTAACATCAGCTGTAATAATAAGCAAATTGGTATCAGTGCCTGAGGCACACTGAAGGACACATTATAACTTCTGTGTTCTTGTTGCTGCCCTAGGGTAAATCAGAATGTGAATCTAATTAAGAGGGCCACCTGAGTGACTTAGTAGCTGAAGTGTCTGACTCATGATTTTGGCTCACTTCATGATCTCATGGGTAATGGGCTTGAGCCCTGCGTTGGCCTCTGTGCTCACCAGTGCTGACATTCAGCGATGTGGCCATCGAATTCTTTCAGGAGGAGTGGGGATGCCTGAACCATACTCAGTGGCAATTGTGCAGGGATGTGATGGTGAGGATGACTTTTTCCATATTTCCAAACCACACTCGGATTTGTTCCTTCCTTTGAAAACCATCTCTTCAAAGATTCTTTGCACGACTGGAATTCAGATCCAGGCAATAAGGGAAATAAGTAGGGGTTTGTAGAGAAAAATTTTCATGATATTTCCTTTTCAGCTTTAGCTTCCCCCTTCGTTAGGGTAATATCATCAGTTCTGTAGACTTGTGGTAATTCTACATATTCAGTGACATAAAATGGTACTGCCTACATCCTAAACTCCAATTATTACTCTTTATTATTGTATCAGTAGTGCTTGGAAGTGGAGGTCATAATGTGAATATTCGAAATCCCTACTTGTGTTCTAAAGGGGCCTTTGGTTAACAGCATTTGGGAAATAATTTTCTAGAATTCTACAATGTCCTCTCTTCTCTGCTGAGCACAATTTTGCATTGAAAGTTAGAATCTCCAGCAATACTTTTTTCTGTTAAACAGATCTCATTGTGTGGAAACCAAACCTGGTCCTCTTTTTGGAGCAAGAGAAGGAGCTCTGGGATATGAAGAGAAAGAAGAGAGTAGCCATCCATCCAGGTAGGTGAGACTGAATGAAGCAGATGACAGAGGTGAGGTCCAAATGTGAAGCAGGAAGATTGACCTTAAAGTGTGTTTTAAGTAGCTCTCCTTGAATGGAAATTAGTTTGAGAAGCCTAGTTTTATTTCTGTCCCTCTCACAGAGGGACATCTGCTATCCAACATTATCAAGCTCTTACATTCTCTCAAGATTCTCCTTCAGCTCCAGTGATGGTCCATCACATCCGCAGAGAGGGCCAGGCAACTACCCTGGGAGTGGGGGGCCCTCCATAGTCTGAGAGCTTCTCCATTGCTGTGAGGGCCCTGGGAAAATCTCCCCATTTCTGAGGAACTCTATGCTAAACCTTTTCTAAGTTCTGTTTTGCCTCGTGTGAGAAGTGTGTCATGATAGCAGTGGACATACTGGGGTTTGGTGCAGAAATCATGGGAACACTGTTGATAGATATCTGGTGTTTTCTGGTTTATGCTTTCCAATGTTATGGAGGCTTTAATTTTAATTGAACAAAATTGAGACTCAGTAATCTCATCAGTTAAAGCACCCCCCTAAAATGAGAAAGTCTAATCCCTTATTTCCCTTCAAAGGTTCATTTTTCTTTGTATTGACTAATATTAGAAAGTTCCACTCTGTGTTGCATTCCTCAGTGGTGAAATAAGGTATCTTTTTGTGTCCTAGAATTCCTACATAAATTATAAATTAATGCCATAAGGGAGCTAGAACATTTAGAACTTAGAACTTGCAGCCTATAATAAAGTCTCAATTGTTATTTTATTTATTAATAATTGCATCATTTTATAATTTTGTATGATATGAAGTTGTGATTTTTGTCATGTGTTTTCACTTTATTAATTATATGTCAGATTCATCTCTAATTTTTTTATATGAATAGTGCTAATATGACATGGGCATATGCTGCTAAGAAGTGAGGTGGAAAATTAGTAAAATCCCCATATTTTAAAAAAAAGTTTTGTTTATAAATTTAATTTTACTTTAGGAAAAATTAACTGTTAGGTTTTTCTTCCTCAGAATGTATCCGAATTTAATTCCCAGTATTTATTTTTTACAAAGTGATTGCTGGCATATTTTACAATTTTGATACTCTATTTCAAAATGAAGGGTGTTTCTTTGGGTGCTTGGTTCTTTTTTAAAATTTATTTATTTATGAGAGACAGAGAGAGAACGAGCCAGCACTAGTGCGGGGAGGGGTAGAGGGAGAGAATCCTAAACAGACCACCTGAGGGGCTCAATCCCGCAACCCTGAGATTGTGACCTGAGGTGAAATCAAGGTTGGATGTTAACCTGTTGAGTCACCCAGCACCCCAGGCTGCTTGTTTCTAAAGAGTGGATTATATAGCCTTGCATTTTGTGTAAGAGGAGGGACATGTTAATAACATAATACATTTTTTAATGTCTTTTAAGTGTTCATTCATAAAATTTTCTATTAGAGCTATTTATGGTTGATTTTAATGAATATTCTTTACAATTTTACTGTCAATTTAGGCATGTCAGTAATGCAAAATACTTGTTTTTCATGGGTACATAGTCACAGTTTAAAATTACGCTTTGAAAGGTTTCCTTTCAAAAATTCATGTATTTTTATGTAGACTTCTTTGGGTTAAATTTTGTCTTACTCTGCTCTTGCAATTCTGTAATAATGTGCTTACTTTTGTATGGGACCCTCCACAACATTAATTAGTTGTGATATTGTTGTTGCTTGTGTATTTTATTATAGGATGACAATTTTCAGCTCAGTAGATTTCAAGACAGTGTGAGTTTATCTCACATATGAATCAGCTTTATGCCCTTTATCAATAAAATTATGTATGTATTTGTCTGTATAAATACCACCCATGCATACTTTGATTATGACTCATCTTGTGATTTTTTTTTTATTGGTTAGTGTTCAGTGAGTGTTGTATCATGTCTAGGTGAGTTATAATAATAGAATTAATTTCATCAGCTGTTGGTGAATTTATATTCCCTTTGCATGTGAGAAACACTTTTTGTGAATTCAGTGTAATTTTTAAACATTTTATACCTCTGAATCAAATTTTGGTATTACATTATATCCTTAATTGTGGTGTTATACCCATGACATGCTTTGATATCATCCTCATTAACTTCTGTGTCTTCTCTGTACTTTTGATAATAGTTACATTAGAAATTACTTAAAACATTTTAAAGGTATAACAAACCATTTTAAAGTGCTCTTGTCAATTGTATACAAAACTCTTCTACTTATCATCTCCATCCCTGCACCCACTTTGTTACCAATATCACAAATTCTTTTATGTTGTGTACTTTGTTACCTAGGTTTATGATTTTATGCTTTTATATAAAAAGATTCTATAGCAGAAATAAAAGTGACGTGCTACTTAATTACAATACTACAGGTTTCTATAATTGTGTAAATGTTAACATTTAGCTGAGAGCTTTATGTTGTCATGTGGTTTCAGTTACTGTTCAAAATCCTTTAATTTCACCTAGAAAGACTTCCTTTAACGTTTCTTGTAGGACAGGTCTACTGGTAAACTTAGAGGGGTTTTTACTTGGGAAAGTCTTCATTTCTACATTCATGGAAAACTGCTTTGCCAGGTAAAGTATTCTTGGTGGCTATTTTTTGATCTTTCAGTATGTGAATATATTTTCCCATGTAGTTCTTCCTATCAGGTCTGCTGAGAATCCCACTACTAATCTTATAAAGCTCTCTTGTACAAGATGGTTGGTTTTGTCATGCTGTTTCAAAATTTTCTTTTCACCTGTGATTTGTGATAAGTTAATTATGATGTGTCACTGTGTTCATGTCTTGAGATTTATCCTATTTTGAATCCACTGAGCTTGTTGAATTAGTCTCTTTCCACATACATGGGATGTACAAGCCTTTAGTTCTTCATGTCAACTCTCTGCCCCCTTCACTCTCCTCTCCTTATGGGGTCCCCTTAATGTACATGTCGGTCCACTTGTTGGTCTCCCATGAGTCCCTTAGACCTTGTCCTTTTCCACATTTTTCTTTGATCCTTTCAGTAGAGAATTTAAAATAAGGTGTCTTTAAGATGTCTGATTCTTTCTTCTGATTAATCAAGTCTATGGCTGACCCCTTGGTGGATTTTTAAATTCGGTGACTGTTCTCTTCAGCTCCCAATTTCTTGTTCATTGTTGTTATACTTTCTGTCTGTCTGGATTTCCGTTTTGGTCATGCATAGTTTCCCTGATATCATTTAGTTAACTATCTGTTTTCTTTCTCCATGAACATCTTTATGATGATTATAAGAATTCTTTGTTAGGCAACTAATAATAGTTCTATATTAATTTAAGGCCAGCTTTGGAGATTTATTTCATTCCTCTGGAACACATTTTTCTGTTTCTTTGTATGCTTTATTATATATATATATATATATTTAAATATTTTTTATTTATTTGACAGAGACACAGCGAGAGAGGGAACACAAGCAGGGGGGAGTGGGAGAGGGAGAAACAGGCTTCCCGTGGAGCAGGGAGCCCGATGCGGGGCTCGATCCCAGGACCCTGGGATCATGACCTGAGTTGAAGGCAGACGCTTAACGACTGAGCCACCCAAACACCCTATGCTTTATTATATTTTGTTGACATATGTGGATTTTAAAAAAGCAGCCCCTGAGCCCAAGATTATGGACTTGCTTTGCAGAGAGGAACACAAATAATAGTAATTCTGGGACCTCTCACACATGTTCTGTGATTTATTTATTCAGAATTTATCATTTCTGAATTTCGGAATTTCCCAGGTTTAAAACTGTAGTTACTACTTTATGTCCGTGAAAGCTTCCTCTCTCTGTTTGTCTTCAGCTCTGTGTTCTCTCCATGGGTTGAACAAATGCTCACCTTTGGTCTGAGCAGCCACCATACTGCATCAAGAAGGTGCTGTCATTTCCTCTGCCTCCCATGTCATGCATGACAGAAACAAGTCCCTCAGGCAGCAGCCAAGAAGCCAGATCATTGAACATATAGGTCACTCATTTGTTTCTTTCCTGAGGAGAGGTAAGAGTTTTCTCACAGTGTTGCCATGGAGTGTCTGGGAGGGTGAGTGGCTATTGTGGGCAAGTGTCACAAGCTTTCCTTGTCTCTTTGATGAGGCTCTTCTTCCTTTGTACTTGCTTGGGGATGCTGTGTTCTCCTAACTGGCTTCTGGAGCACTCTAAAAGGTAAGTTGTTCCATTTTTGTCTCCATGGAGGAGCACAGTCCTGGTGGTTGCTATTTCTCCCTTCTGCTGACGTGGTATGATGAGTATCAATTCCACATATGAGCATTTTAACATATAGGCATGTCAGTGTACTAAGTGTGATAACTTATTTTATATCTTTAAGTCGTGTCTTTCCATAATACCCAAGGCCCGTTGGCAAAGACAGGGAAAGGAGATTCAGTTTGTAGAGTGGTATGGGAAGATGTGGAAGCTGTGGAAATAAGTATTTATACTTATGAATGACTGGGAATGTGAAGGACATTATGATGGATATAACCAAATTGTGACAGTTACTATAATGAAATCCTTAGTGCCACAAGAGTTCAGGGATATAAAACATTCGGGAAAACCTCCCCTTAAGTCAGTTATATTTGCAGAACAATGTCTTCGAACCCAGGGATGATAATCCATTTTTTAAACATACATATTTTTTTGAACGGTATTTGGAAATTCTGGAAAGTCACCTAGTCCAAGCTAAAAGTAATCATTCAAACGATTTCAAATATAAGATTGGCTTAATTGTTAACTGACAAATTTCAGAATGTTAGACATTTAAAAGTGAAGATAAAATGTCTAAATGTGATTGATTTGAGAAGTGCTTTCCAGAGGGTTTGTTATACCTCCACCAACACATAATCCCTCCTTGTTGCAAAGTTTCCAGTTTAGATATACACTGGAGGGTCTTTATCCAGACATCACTTTGCAGTACTTATCTCACACAATTCTTAATTTGGAGCAAGGTTTCAAGGTGTTGTGAACTTAGGAAGATTTTATTTTATTTTTTT